ACAAATTCCCTATGATGAATGTAATCATCATATATACCTAAAATGTACCAATAAAAATCATTTAAAAAATAAACAAAAAACCCAACTGACCATAAATAGCGTGGATTTTTTTTCTTGATATATTTGTTTTGTTCCATTAGTCCTTGTTTTTTTTTTTTTTTTTTTTTTTTTTTTTTTTTTTTTCAGTGCTGGAGATCAAACCCAAGGGCTTGTGCAAGCTAGGCAAATACGCCACTATTTAGTTACTTCCCACACCCATCTCTTTGTTTCTATGCCACCATCATTCCATTTGGGTTAGAAAGTATGATACTTTCCCTTTTCTGCCTGTGCAATATTGCTTTGACTATTTGTGGTCTTTTCTAGTTTCATGTAAATTTTAGGATTTTTTCCTCTCACATTTTTTAGTCCATTCATCCTTTGATAAGTTCGTTGGGTGTGTCCTTACCTTGGCCAAGTATGGTTTATTTTGTGTTTTTCCCCCTGGAGGTCCCAGAGATTAAGCTGTTTTCTCATCTCCAAAACCTTCTTCAGCTTGGCGGTGTGCAGGATCTGGAAAGCGTATTTCCATGACCTCTGGCATCTCTCAGGATTAAAGGGAAGCTGCTTGCTGTTTGTGTCATCCCAGTGATAACCTGGGAACTACTTTTCCAGTTTTTTCTCAGCGACGGAGGCCTACTTTCCTCAGGCCTCTCAGACATACAGTGGCTGCAGGAAACCCCATCTTCCCAGCTTCAGGACGCCTCCACGCCTCCATTCTGAGCGGACTCTTGTGCAGGAGTCCGAGCTCCGCGCCTGGAGCCTCTCCAGCAAGCACAAGGGCTGCTGACCCCTCCCGTGGCCCCTGTTTCTCCTGCCCTACAGGTAGTAGCAGTTCTTCAGATGCCTTTGTCACCATAATGTTTTCCTCTCAATTTCCTGATTTTCTATCTGTTTAACTTGGTTTTCACATAAGTATATGGTTGTGTCTTATTCTACTCTGAGACTATAAATGTACGTTAGACTTTATTCCCACAGGATTTTAATGTTCTACCTTGCCTTACCTTTTATTCTGTTGATCTCTTAATTTTGGTTTATGTATTTTTCACTTCTATAATTTATTTTTGTTTATTTTTTAAAGAATACAAAATAGTGATAAAAAAGTATTAGAACTGATACAAAATTTCACGAAACAAAGTAGTAGACCTCAACAGTGGTCTTCAACATGCTGTCTTCAAATTGGTTTCTCAGATTACCAGTAAGATTGGTTTAAAAACAAAACAATAACAAAAAGTTGTAAGAAATTCAAAAGAAAAACATAACAATTGGGCCATCCAAAAGCTCAGCAGACTAAAGTGCTTGCTTAGGCAGGCCCAGGGACCAGGGACTCTGAGGTGGAGATTGAGACTGGGCATGGTGGTGTGCATCTGTAATCCAGCGCTTGGGAGGCTGAAAACAGGAGGATCACTATGAGTCCGAGCTGTGTAGTAAGACCCTGTAGACCCCGTACTAAAATACATAAAAAAGAATAAAAAGAAAAAAAATTTAAGCATTTAACTGCTGCTTTCAAAAGACCAGCAGAGATGGACAGTACAATTATCCAAACTGTCCTGCATATATACCTAAATGTCTTTCCTCTTCCTTTTATTAGTGTAACCTCCATTTTATTATTTATTTTCCTGAACATATTAATCAAAGTCATTGTAGTAGCTCCAGTATCTGGATCTTTGTGAGTCTGTTTCTGTAGGTTTTGCTCTTGGATGGGCAGTTTGAGGCAGGTAATCTTAATCCAAGAGCATTAAATTGCTTCAAAATCATGTTTATGACCTCATGAGGTCTGGCCCATTTCTTGTTGACAGCCTAGGATGCTCTGTTGTATACTGGTTCCACGGCTTTCTATGGCTCTTACTAACATTTTCAAAACATTAGGTATTTCTAGAATATCTATCCATTTGTTTAGTTGTTTTTATTTCATTATTTGTGTAACTTGAATGTATTAGATTTAAGCTCAAGTATTTCTTTTGAGAGTGCTAATATATGATATCATTCTATTTTTTATTAATTTTATTGAGAAACAGCACTGAGACAATTTCAAAACTGATTAATAGGTGCTCGCTTCGGCAGCACATAACTAAAATTGGAACAATACAGAGAAGATTAGCATGGCCCCTGCACGAGGATGACACGCAAATTTGTGAAGTGCTCCATATTTTTACTCAGGTCAACAATTTCTGACATTGCCAGTGAAGCGGAAGACCCAATACTATTATGGGCTACTGGACTCTTTTAGAATATTTTGCTGAGTTTACACACCTATAATATTCAAATAATGGAACTTAACAAAAAAAGGGGATACAGATGAATGTTCATTTTGTATCTGTGTATTCAAAGTGGTTAGGATAGATATATAGTTACATTCTCTTAATAGAGGGATTTGTTCTTTTTTTTTTTTTTTTTTTTTTTTTTTTGGTGGTACTAGGGATCGAACTCAGGACCTTGCACTTGCCAGGCAAGCACTTATTCCACTGAGCTATCTCCCCACCCCTAGAGGGATTTGTTCTAATGGTGTTTGTAAATAGGATATCATGTCCACATCTTATGCAGCAATTAACCACTAGGAAGAATGTATGCAATGTGTTAATTATTGAAACTGTCCTACCAATTTGGTTTGAAACTGTCTCATTCATTGCTATTTGTTTCTCAATAAAATTATGGAAAAAAATTTAAAAACCTGATTAATAGGACAGTTTCAATAATCAATACATTGCATATTGTTATTTTCTTAGTGGTTATTCATAGTATAAGATGCAGACATGATATCCTGTTCAAACACTATTAATACAAATCTTTCTTCTCATTGAATTAAGAGAAAATAGCTGTATATCTATCCTATTTTGTACATACAGATACAAAATGGTCCTTCTTTTGTATTCCCTTTTTTTTGTTTAATTTTGTTAGAGATGGGTGTTCCATTGCCATTTAAATATTGTAGGTATGTGAATTCAGCAAAATAATCCAATATAGTCCAGTAGTCCATAATAGTAGTGGGTTATCTGCAGGACTGGCAATGTCGGAAGTTGTTGACTTGAGCCTTTTACAGCTCAGCATATTAATATGGCTTTACTTTTTATACCTCGTTTTTATACTTTTCTGCTGGATGGTTAAGACCAAGATAAAACAAGACCTTTATAACAAGAAATGTATCTTTTGTATCTGATAAGGTCAGTATGACATCATTCTAAATTTCTAATTCAATTTTTACACTGATACATATGAAAATGGTTGATTTTGTATGACAGCCTCATAATCCGTACCCTTGATATACTTGCTTATAGTTGCTTGAATTTTCAACCTGACCTTTCAAATTTTCTACATAGATGATTATATCATCTATAAACACAGGTTTATTCTTTTCTACATATATACCTTTTATGTTCTTTTTGGTCTTGCTAAATATTACTTTCAGGATGATGAGATGAAAAGGAATTTTTTTTTTTGATCTGTCACAGCTGAGTTTTTCTTTTCTCATGAATGCACTTCTAGTCCACTAATTGGTTCTTGCTTTCTAATACAATGCGATGTCATTCCTGCATGTGTAAGTTTGAGAGGTAAAATTTTGAATGTAACTGCACTGAAATCCTGATTTTGAGAAAAGTTTTTCCTCATTATTCTGAGTAAATTTTGCTGTCTCTCTGAAATTCTACAAAATGTCTGAGATTTTGTACTTAGCTTTAGAAATAAAAAATCAGTGACAGCATTTATTTTTATTTTTTATTTTTTGCACTTTAGGGAAGGGTCTACAGGATGTTCAGGGTCTCACTACTAGATCGGGCACATAGTGATTTGCCTGTTTACAGCCTCCCAAGAGCTGGGATTTCAAGCGTGCACCACCACGCCCAGTCTCAATTGCTGCCTCAGCAACCCCAGGGGTGGGGCCAGCACGGCAGGCCCGGGTATTGAACCCCTGGCTCTTGCGCCTGCTTGCAGGTGCTTTAACCCCGCTGAGCTATTTGGCTGGTCTTTTTTTTTATAGTGACAGCATTTTTAATGCTGTTGAATTAGCATGAAAAGAGAGCATCCTTTCTAGCTTTTGTGTTTAGTACCACTAAATATTTATGATCTCTTTATTATGGAAAAATTATCAATTTCATAAAATTTTAATAAGTTAAAATTTGTATTTTAACAACTGCCAAGTCATGAAACATCTAATAAGATGAAAATTTTTTTCTTTTTTAATGTATTTGGTACAGGGTCTCTCTACACAACTCAGACTTGTAGTGATCCTCCTGTTTTCTGCCTCCCCAGTGCTGGGATTGCGGGCACACGCCACCACGCCCGGTCTCCGTGGCTGGCTCAGCATGCCTGCGGTGGGGCTGGCATGGCCTGTGATTCTGAGGATGGAGCCCCGGTCCCTGAGCTTGCCTGAGCAGGCGCTTAGTCCACTGAGCTGTCTCACAGGCCCAAGATTTCTTAAAACTTACTTTCTGTCTACATGTACTTTGTTTATTATTTTACTGGTGATGTGGCATATTCTCAGTCCTGGGGTTCAGTTTTATGCTGTTTAGTTAATGCGTTCTGCTTACTGGTTCAGATTTTGCTTAGACAATAGCAATTACCTTTCTTGCCATGTAATATGTGTTCACAGTTACAAATGTCACTACCCTTGACAGGTATTCCAAGTGGCCCTTCCTATGGCTTGTACATTCAGTGGACTTTCCACAGGGGCAAGATGATCAGGCCGGAAAGGAGCACTGAGGCCACAGCCTATTAGAAACGAAAGGAGACCTAAGCACCCCACATGTATGACAATCTGTGTCCAGGAGGAGGAGGAGGAGGAGGAGGAGGAGGGGGAGGAGGAGGAGAGAATCACACAAATAATAACAGACAAAAAGTCAGAATGAGTTTATAATCTTATAATCCAGGTCTTCTCAGCACACGGTGCCATTCTGTGAGCCAAATGCAGGTCTATTACTACATTCCACCAGACCCAAGAGAAAGCAAGAGGAAAATTTTTTCAGGTCACATTTATTTCCACAGTTGTTTATTTGCTTGGTTCTCTGCTTGGCAACTGGGGTGTTTTGGGGTCTCATCTGATTTCCATGTTCCCAGCTGCAGCCATAGACACTGGTGTCTCTGCTTGTGCACACCACGGCCTTTCCTTGGCTCAGTGATGATGTTTCTCCAATAGTTTCTCCTTTGCAGGCAATTAGCTGAGCCCTAGTTGTCGCATGGATGGGGGAAAAATAAGAAATTTGTTTTCCTCCCTGCTAGGTAGCTTGTGAGGCATGTGGCACTGAAGGTAAAAGCAATCCTTGCACCGTGCTTCTACCCTTGTGCCCCCGCCCAAAGCACCCAACACAAGCTGAGGGAAGAGGTGTACTGACTAGATCACATCCTCTATTCTCCCCTTGGTAACTGAACTCAGGACCTTGTGCTTGCTGGCAAGTGCTTGTGCCACTGAGCTCCGTCCCTGGCCAGGTCCTTTCTGAACAGCGCCCCCTTCTGGACCTTCGGTGTCCTACTATTGCTCTTCACAGTATGCTAATGCCAAAGACAGCTTTCTGTCTCAGTGTCTGAGCTAAAACTGGGTTTTGAATGATGACTGAAGTTTTGTGAACGTGTGTGTTCTTTTAGAAAGACATAACCCTGTTTCCAGAATATTGGACTATTTTGTGTTTATTTATATAGGAAACAGGATGAGTCTTGTACTAAACCTCACAAAGATGAAGCCAATTTTCTTGATCACCTAGAGGTTAAACCCTGTCTGGAAAGAATTCCCAACAAGTCCTAGAGAGGATCATTTAGAGTGCTGGTATCTGAGACTGTCCGCTTCTCCAGGGTGGAGCTAGGTGTTACATGATTCTAAGGAACAGGAAAGTTAAAGGGGTTAGGACAAGGCCTGTCACATATGCGGTACCACTGAGGACCCCAATAAAGGAGTCTTTACGCTTATATTTGACTTGATATTGAATTAAGTCCTGAAAGTAAAGTAAGTTTATTTATTTATTTATTTAATGCATTTGATACAAGGTTTAATTACGCAGCTCAGACTCGTAGTGATCCTCCTGTTTTCAGCCTCCCCAGTGCTGGGATTATAGGCGTGTACCACCAGGATCATGCTGGGGATCGAACCCAGATCCTTGTGCTTGCCAGGCAGGTGCTTGGACCACTGAGCTATCTCCCCAGCTCTGGGTTCACCTTTTTAAAGTCGCCATCTTTCAATCTGTTTGCCCCCTTGTGGTTGTTTCCTAACTCCTAAACAGTCCTTACACAGAACCACCCACATCCGATACACTCTGTGCAATTCTTTGTCTCAATTAGAGAGACCAAAAGAACCTGATCTGAGCCCGGCCTCACCTTCCTACCCTCCTCACCCCGTCGCTCCTGCTTCGGGTGATGCTGCTCTGCTGTGGTGGGATAAGGATCCCTGAGCTTGGGCTACGGGCTACAGTCCGAGGGGCAGTGGGGGAGAGTTTGCAGGAAAGATCATTTGGGAAGAGGCAGGTCACCTGGCAGAAGCAGAGGAGTTCTTTCTTCCTTGACGCTAGAGTTAGGGTCCAGGATAGTAAGCTGACTGGCCGGAGAGTTGTGTCCTAAGGTTGTGGAAATTGGTTCCCGATGGCTGGTCCCCAGTGCTGAACTGCGACTTCACCTTTGAGGTTGTGGAGAAATCTGGAGGCCTTGTGCTCCTGCGCCCAACAAGAGATGGTGTACACTGAGCATCACACTATGCCTTGTGAGTATGCGCAGTTATTATGCCAATAACAAATTCTAAACGGTAATCAGGCAAAAAGAACAAGAAAAAATTCAAAGAAAACCTGTAACGGGGAAGGAGCAAGGAGGGAAAGGTAAAGGAGTAAAATACAGACATGCACTCGACAGTGAGTTAGTTACGCAGCTACTTTCTGTGGGCTCACCAAGGGGAAAGTTTTGTGCTAGAAATGTTCTCGATAATGTCTCAGGCCTCAATCTTGTACTCGAAAGAACTACTGTGGAAGAACGAATGTGCAATGTGTGGATTATTCTGACTCCCACTAGCCCGTTCTGAAACTCACTTTTATTGATATTTCCTGCTTTGATTAAGTTTAAAATTATAAATGAACATACCAAGTACCTGCCCAAATTTTCAAAAATAAAAATACATTAGTTCTGAGGAAAAAAGAGGCGGTTGTGCATGTACAGGGAAGAAAGATCCTCTCCCAGCCTCCCTGTCTCTGGCCTTCACGTCCTTACAGATTTGTTGTCACTTTCCAGCCAGAGCGGACATCACTGACTGGGAATTGAGATCCGTGGTGGTCACGGGCCACAGGAAAAGCTCTTGCTGGGCGTTAGGAGATTAAGTGTGGTAACTGCGTGAGCTTAAGGTGTCATCTGGAAAATTCCTCCTGCTTATCTCATAGGAATAGTGAGCTTAAATAAAATTGTAGATTCCAAAGGATTTTGACCAATCAAAGGTGCTCTTCATGCTAAAGTTTATTTATTTTTATTTTTATTTTTTTTATTTTAGGGAAGGGTCTGCAGGGTGTTCAGGGTCTCACTACTAGATCAGACTTGTAGTGATTCTCCTGTTTACAGCCTCCCAAGTGCTGAGATTACCGGCGTACCACCATGCCCAGTCTCATTCACTGTCTCAGTGTGCCATGGGGGCGGGGCCAGCACAGCAGGCTTGAGGATCGAACACCCGGTCCCTGTGCCTGCTTGCAGGCTCTTTAATCCACTGAGCTATCTGGCCGACCCACTAAGGTTTAGAATGTACAAATACATTCAGAATTTATGTAAGTATGAGGAGACTTGCCAATTGTCCCTCATAGTTTCAGCACTGAGCAGGCTGAGACACAATCAGTGATCTCAAAAGGCGTGGTTCTATTTGGCAAAGGCCAGCTCTCTGAGACAGAAGCAAATGCTGTTCAAAAGAGATTTAGGGAGTTCACTTTCTCCATTTCTTGGTTCAGGCAGGACCATACCTGAAACATTTTAAACTAATTTTTTAAAAATGCTAAACAAAAAAGGGGATACAAATGAAGGACCATTTTGTGTCTGTATATTCAAAATAGTTAGGATAGATATACAGCTGCATTCTCTTAATTCAATGAATAGAAAAATTTGTACTAATAGTGTTTGGACAGGATATCATGTCTGCATTTTGTACTATAAATAACCACTAAGAAGACAACACTATACAATGTATTAGTTATTGAAACTATCCTACTAATTGGTTTAGAAACTATCTCATTGCCATTTGTTTCTCAATAAAATTATGACAAAAATAAAATAAAAAAGAAATAAAAATAAAAATGTATGCATCTTTAAATATCTCTAAAGCATGATGTTGCCAGTTTTCTTGACTACTTAGCTCTGTTTCTCCACTATCACTATTGTAGGTCATTCTAACTAAATCTAATCTTAATTAAATCTCTGGTATGGTAGCCTGATATTTTCTCTCCTTGCTCTGTGGAAAATAAGCTGACCTCTCTCAGTGTTGGGGCATTGGTATCCCAACCATTTTTGAATTGTATTTATGGTTTTTCTATGACACTAATTCTCTCTCTCTTCTTTAGTAGCTTGGCCATGCACCTTAGGCTGAGGGTGACGGAGACCAGCCTTGTCCTGTGGCAGAGTGCGGACTGGATGGACAGTCCTCTGAAGGGTTGGGGTCCAGAGCCAGCTGCATTCCTGGCCACCACACCCACATCCAGGCGCAGGTTGTTTCCCTTAGAAACTGTCAGATTAGGCACTTACCCGGTTCTGGGTGCAGATGAGATGGGTGATACACAACAGTTGCTCATCCCTGAGGCGGACACAGGAAGGAAGCACTCTGTTATGGGGCGTGGAAATATCCCCCCAGTTTCTCAGCTCATACCTCATTTCAAGTTAGCAAGTGAAAGTAGGAGGGGCCAGACTTGTGTCAGAGAAGTGGCTGCAGAACGTGGCACAAGGCATCTGGGAAGCCCAGTGAGCCATAGTCCCTGGAGTTCTGGTCAGTCAAGACGGGCTGTTGAGAGCTGGCGCTGCCTCGGTCTGAGGGCACTGCCATTGGAACCAGTTACACTTTCTCATTTCTTACCTTCTCTTTTTTTTGTATAGAAGGATATAATAAAACTAATCCTCCTCACTCCCCTAAATCTGACCTTCCTTCCCCACCTTTCAGGATGCAGAGAAACAGCAGCGACTAGATAATAAATCCACATTTCCACAGCTAGGCGGTCAGGCATATGTTCCCAAGGCCCTCCAGAGACCTCTTTGGAAATCCTGTTTCCTGGATAAAGAGCACCCTTCAAAGCGGAGGGAAGCCTGAGCCTTGGCCCCTGCTCTGAGGGATCCAGCACGAGAAAGGTCTCCTAGTTCTCACGGCAGATTCGGCCAGATCACACTTTCTCATTCTGGAGTGGAGGCGATTGACCAGACTTGGAGAGAAAGCAGGTTGCTGTACTACCCAGCCCGCGGCACTCTAACAGCCTGCAGGAGGAGGACACTCTGTACCTGGGGTGGCAGGGCTGGCAGTGGTGGCGAACTTTTCAGAGCTTTCGGGGCTGTAGGCAGGCAGCTGTGGCTGTGTACTGCACATTCACCACCCCCAGTGGGAGTTGGTGGAGGCTTGAAGGACAGCCAGTGCCCACCTTGATTGAAGGGGGAATAAAGTGACCTGGAGCCCAGATTTAAGCCCAAGGGAAGGCCCTAAGATGAGACTTTGAGACCAGTTCCTTCTCATTCCCTCTTCAATTCATTATCCAAACCATATATATAGTTATTTTTACCTCGAATCCGAGCATCTTCCTGCAGCTGAAATTATAGAGAATTCAATGAGTCAGAAACCCAACAGACTGATTTCAGAAGTCAGAATATACCAGCTATAGACTCAGCAGGTGTAGAGATGTCTTAGAGAAATACAGGCTTCTTGGGGATGGAACTGATTTCTCTATTGCCCAAAAGCAGGGTGTGTGTAGTCTTTCAATCTCTCAAAGCAAACACGGCAGACAACGCTCTGCCCGTGGCTGCGCTCGTGCATGCTGTGTGATGAAGTGATACAAGAGCAAGCTGTGGACCTGCAGGGTGGCGGCCACGTAGCTCATTACTTGCATCCTTAACTGCTCACAGAACACACTCACGCTGCCAGTCTGCCCGGCCTTGCTGTGTGACTTTTTGGGCCTTTTTCCACTTCCTCAGAGTGTCTAGCAGTCTCTGCAGGGGGATCCCCTTGAACTACTTCTGAAGGAACTTTGTAAGGGTCCTTGTCACTCACTTCAGAGTGAGTCGCTGCTGATGTGAGGCTGCCTGTGCTCACGTGAGACGGTGGCTTGGAGTCAGCACACACGAGACTCTGTGGACAGGCGGCCTCCTTCCAGTAGCTCAGTCCTTCCGGAGGAGACTATGGCCTAAGGAGACCAATTTCTGGTGACGCGGAGGCATCCTGATCAGAGGAAAAGCTCGGGTGAAAGCAGCAGGCTTCTGATCTCTGCCCGGCACGGCACCGCTTTTACCTCCAGACAGGGGGAGACAGAGGCTGCTGGGATTTTCCTGAGTCCCAGATGCTCTCACAGAACACAGTGACACAGCAGATTGGAACGTAGAAACATTCTGAGGTCAAGAGTGATCTCAGGGGTGGGGAGATAGCTCAGTTGAATAAGCGCTCGCCTGGCACGTGCGGGGTCCTGAGTTCAATCCCCAGTACCGCACCGAGGAAAAAAAAGTGATTTCAGTGGTGAAAGCGAGAAAGCTGGTTTCCAGTGCCTGCGCCATCGCTTTGTCCATTATCCCTGCCCAGCTAGGAAGAGAGCTGATTTTCCCAAATTGTAGGAGGTTATTATTATTGTTGTTGTTGTTGTTGTTATTATTATTATTATTATTATTATTATTATTATTATTATTATGTTATGTATTTGGCACAGGGTCTCACTATGCAGCTCAGACTTGTTGTGACCCCAGGAGGCTAATGTTATACTTAGATTCTAGTTTTAATGAAATTGTATCCATATTCAGGGGAACAAAAGCTAAGAAATATGAACAGAAGTTTCCTGCTTGTGGTTTTATGATGGTATCTGTGTGGTCTTGTCCTTTTCTATTTTTATAGCCTGTGGAAATAGTCTCTCATTAGTGATTCTGCAGAGAAAGAGAGAGTCTATTGCTCTCCACTGTAGCAGAAAGCAGAAAAAATGCAATAGTGGGCTTAGTAGGACCCTGAGCAAGCCAATACAACAGCTTGGGGGAGCCAAGTGTGGCGGTGCACGCCTGTACTACTCTGGGAAGCTAAGGAAGGAGGAATGCAAGTTTGAGCTCAGTATTAGCAGCTCAGTGACTTAGGAGGACCCGACCTGAGAACAAAAGAATAAAAGGCACAGGGATATTGCTTGGTAGGAAGGCTTTGGGTTCAGTCCCCAGTACCACAACAAAGAGACCTCAGCATCTTTGGAAGACCTGCAGTGTGGTGTATGCTTGACTATATTATTTGAATGTCTGATCACCCTCACCTACACAGAGCAAGAGTGGAGAAAGAGCATGCTTCTGTTTACCCTCAAAGCTGGTACCCCTTTAGCTGGTACTTTCCTGTGTTTAATAAACATATTTACCTAATAAGGCATTTTATAATATTACTTGTGTATTCCCTTCTACTTGGTCATTCCTCAGCATTTCTTGAAAACATGCTCCTGAGAGAAGCTATAGTAAATGCAGTTTTCTTTATGGATCATCAAAGTTCTTCAAAGGAATTATTAGGCTTATTTTTGCTTTAGTTGTCTGGACAGATATGTCAATGGCACTTTTGGAGAGAAAATCACTAAATAAATAAAGATAAGACTTGGTTCACTAACCATGTCATTAGGGAATAAAAATGGGTTCCAGGAAGGTGACAAGGCTAGGAAATGTAGAGAATCAAAGTTTAACCTTACCTCCTTTTGTATATCCTTAAAAGCGGACAGCACCTGTCAGAAGACAAAAAAAAAAAAAAAAAAGAAAAAGTAGCATTGCAGATTTCACTTCATCAAACAGATTTTCATATAAGAATCTAGGCAGTAGGCTGTGGAGTGTGGGCTTTATCTCCAACAGTTAACTCTCATCAATTTCTACTCTCCACATGCCTCTCGGCTCCATTTCTCCACACGGTACATCAGAGAAATACAACAAGGCACTCAAGGAGGGTTGAGCTCTGGCAGACTGTCTAGTGGAAACTGCTGTTGTAATAATTGCTTTTTAATTCATCCTTGTTCTGAAGACATGCATAGCTAGTAAAATGAACATTTCACTATCTTTAGGTTATAGTATACTGGAGGACAAGACAACGTCGGTGAGGACATGAAGCAGCTAAAACTCTCACTTGTTATGGGAGGGGATGTGAAATCATGCAGATACCTTGGAAGAGATTCTGGCAGTTTCTCATAATACTGAATAAAAATATATATACTTATTTTGGAGAGATACAATAGCAGTTGGAACTATGGATTAGCTCAGAGATTAGCCTATCTTAAAGGAAAGGGCAATAACTTTAGCACAGACAACTGTATCTTACTTGGTGGAAATAAATGTAGATATCAGGAATTTCAACTTATGTATAAGAGTGCATGTGAAAAATGAATAACCAAGAGGAAGAGTGCACCAACAATCAACTCACAGCCCTTTGTACTCCCTTCGTTCTATCTTAGGTTCTCAACAGGATAATCTTTACCCTTATGTGAGCAACTCACTTTTTAGCTAATACAGTAATGCAAGATAATGAGATGGCCATGCTGACATAGAGACCTGCAATTAAGATTACTTCCTTCTGTGAAATGTATAAGAAGAGTTGCTGAAAAAAGAGAATAAAAGTTTGGCCACAGCACTCATTTAACATAATATATTCAGTAGGGGCTTGCAGGACAGGCCGTGGAGAATTTCACCTATTCTAAATTTTAAAAAAAAATCCATAGGAATTGATTTAATGCACTGTCTTTCCCTGCTTGGTTCCATGTGGTAAATGTCCTATAAATTCAAAAATAATTCATTACCCTTTGGCTATCAGTGCTTGCCAAGAGTATACATGACTAATGCATACAACCATAACAGCAACACTGGGATGCTGACGAAGCTGGCACGGCGAGAATCCCTCAGAACTCCGAACAGATGCCAGTGTCCTCTGAGAGGGCAGCCCGGCTTGTGGCAGCTGCCTTGTGGGCATCACTTGGTTTGGGACTTGTTCATAGATGAACTTGACACTGTCCTGCGTGAGAACTGGCCACCTTTACGGTCATTTTCAGATGTCAGGGAAACCCAGGACATTTTGTCAAAGTGAACAGGCCACCAACTGTAATAAGAGAAACTATTCAGATGCTCACTGAATTTAAGTCTATTATAAATCAATTTCAGAAATTGAATTTAAAAACAGGGCTTAGGATAGTATATTGACTGAGAGCTACCGCTCATAGCATTGGTTCACTTGGAAGACTGAACAAATAGTATGATGACTGAATGAGCAGATATGTAAATCACCTCATTCCTACTGATGACTGAATGAGACAATTTACATACTAAACTCATAATTTTCAAGATCCCAAATACTTTCTTCATAGGATTGAGCTAAGTCATTCACTATACAGCATATGACTCAGCCATTTCCCATGAAGGAAGACACTTTTTTTTTTTTTGGTGATGTTTTCAGGTCATTTTATTTATTTATTTTCCCCATAATTTTATTGAGAAACAAATAGCAATGAGACAGTTTCAAACCAAATCAGTAGGACAGTTTCAATAATTAACACATTGCATACATTCTTCCTAGTGGTTAATTGCTATACAAGATGCGGACTTGATATCCTATTTACAAACACCATTACAACAAATCATTCTATTCATTAAGAGAATGCAACTATATATCTATCCTAACCATTATGAATACACAGATACAACATGGACATTCATCTGTATCCCCTTTGTT